CTCGCTCAAGAGGAAAGACTAACTTATTACAAGTTCTGGCTTACTAAGTCGGTGGTTAATTTGGTATTAGAGCCCTCCAGGCAAACAGTGATTCCCAAACTGTGCGCCACGGGGACTCAGATGTACTGTGTATTGCATCATTTTGCTAGTATGTACTATGTTACATCATTTTGCTAGTATGTACTATGTTACATCATTTTGCTAGTATGTACTATGTTACATAATTTTGCTAGGATGTACTTGTATTACATCATTTTGCTAGGATATACTAGTATTACATCATTTTGCTAGGATGTACTATGTTACATCATTTTGCTAGGATGTACTATATTACTTCATTTCGCTAGGATGTACTTGGATTACATCATTTTTCTAGGATGTACTTGTATTACATCATTTTGCTAGTATGTACTTGCATTACACCATTTTGCTTGTATGTACTTGTATTACATCATTTTGCTAGGATGTACTATGTTACATCATTTTGTTAGGAAGCACTTGTATTACATCATTTTGCTAGGATTTACTATGTTACATCATTTTGCTAGAATGTACTATGTACATCATTTTGCTAGTATGTACTATGTTTCATAATTTTGCTAGGATGTACTATGTTACATCATTTTGCTAGTATGTGCTATGTTACATCATTTTGCTAGGATGTACTATGTTACATCATTTTGCTAGTATGAACTATGTTACATCATTTTGCTAGGATGTACTTGTATTAAATCATTTTGCTAGGATGTACTTGTTTTACATTATTTTTCTAGGATGTATTTGTATTACATCATTTTTGCCTGCTGACTCGACCAAGGCATTACAGCAGAGGTTCCCAAACTAGGGGTGCCGCGGCGAAAATAAAGAAAAGTTGGCTATAAATTGTGACATTATTAAAGAAGGCCTGAAGATACTTAAAAGTTAAAATTCAAATTGTCTTTCCTCGCCAGCTTCGAAAAGAGTGTTATTCCTACTTTTACTCTCAAAGTGTCTCATACTGCATAAAATGCCAACCGCGGCGTGCTAAAAATGGTCTGGTATTTATCTTGAGGTGAGACTGATCCTCCATCTGTATTCGTGAAGGTGCAGCGGATAAGTAAGGTTGTGATTACATTTTGGCTAACATTTTAAAGTGGAAACTGTGGTCTGTACAACAGTCACTGTAAACCTCGTCAAAAAAGCACTTATATTTCAAGGCAATTCGTTGTGAGTCCTGGACAATCGGTAGGCAGGCCAAACAATTACTTAGATATGTGGTTTTACAGAACAATGCTTAAAATACCCTGGATAGAAAAAAAATGCAACCGAGAGGTTTTGAAAGTTGCGGGAGCCCGAAGACAACTAAGCACAGACATAAGAAGGAGAAAGTTATCATTTTTCGGCCATGTTATAAGAAGATGAAAAATGCAACATGTTGTGACCACCTTAATAATCTGTGGAAGGAGGGATAGAGGAAGACAACGAGAGAAGATTATTGACAGTCTTGTTGCATGGCATGGAAGTGTGTCAGCACACGAACTAATACATGCTGCTGGAGATCGCAGATTGTGGCGAGGCAAATTCGCCCACACCAGCCGGCAAAGCACCTGATGATGATGATACACTATTCGTATTTGTATTCGTGTTCGGCACAATAGTTGGTCCCGCTGTTCGTATTCGGCCGAGTAGTGAAAATCACTATTCGGTACAGCCCTAGTATGTACTGAGCAGTACATTATTTTGCTAGGATATACTGTGTATTACATCATTTTCATATAATGTACTGTGTATATCAGTGGTGTCTAGCCTGAGGGGGCCGAACCGCCGCCTTCCATTCCCAGCAGCGCGGGCATAGGCAAGTTTCAAAAAGTGGGGGGGGGGGGGGCGTGGGGGGTTGTCATGTCAAGCGATTTAGAAATTAAACGCAACTAAACACGTAATAATCCGGATTTTCAGCTTTGACAGTCATGAAAAGTAGCGCTGCCAGCTTGGTGAGAAGATTGATCTCGGTTTTGCCTTGTCCAACATCAAACCAAACATAGCAGATAACATCAAGAAAAAACGGTATCAACCATTACATTGACATTTGGACAGTAAATTATCAGTTTTTGGTGATTTCTTCTTTTGTTTCTTTGACACAGTGATTTATTATGCGTGGTTTTTTTTTTTTTTTCAACTGCCAGTGCATTTTTTTACGTGCGTAACAATACACACAGGCGTCTGATCTTACTACCCAGAGACCAGGAAAAATTTCTAGAAGTCCACGTGAAAAAATTCCAGCCCTCACCTTGGCTATAACCCCGGACTTCCAGGATTATAGGTGGCGCCATGCCCCGGGACCATTCAGCCCCTCTAAACAGTGGTATTTGAACAGTTCAGATGCATTCTTCTTGACTACAAGCAGATGCTTTTGGATCTTTACGTATTCTTTTACAATCACTAAAGTAAAGGAATCGTTTCCACGCCTTTTTGCGTTTTGGGCATATCGGGCTAGATTTATATTTTATAGATCAATCGGCACTTCATGATGGGGTCAGAATCACGTCTGGCTTGCGATCTATCTGAAGGTAAGCGTCTAGCCACTACATCACAGCGTCTGCCCTAATTTAATTAGGTAAGATAGGTAATCAGGTAATCGCTGATCCTGCTTCAGAGCAAACGGGTCACCCTATAGGTTCTCCCTTTCTGTACCAACGGGTACCCGCAATTCCAACTGCTAACATACCTCCATCACCACGAAAAAAATATCCAAAGTATTCTTATAGTTGCTCCGGTATGTGACATTGAAAACCACACAGAATGTCAATCCTTATTCCTAGCGGAAAGAAAATTTGACTGACTGCAGTCTTGGTATATCCAGCAGCATACACGTGCATTAAATGCATAAGGATGCAGTCCGAGGTGCCAACGCAAACAGTCCGACACTAGAAACGCAGTTGATCGTTGATGGAAGCAGCTATTATGACAGATCAGTAGCTGCATACGCAAGTAATCTGTTATTCTTGGCATAAATATATAAGAGGCAAGTCGGCCAGTTTCCTTCCTCATCGTCTTTTGTTTCCAAACAAATCCCGAAAATTATATGAACTTTCTGAAAAGCTCCGGATAATGAGTTGAGATTAAATGAGTTTCAAGAACCGAGAACACAGAACTTGGCACATTTCTGTAAGCGCTCTGCCCCCATCCTCAGCAGCCAGCGAAGAGTTCCATCTACGATTATTCTGAGGGTATATATGCCTTGCCCTTCCTCTGAATATGGAATATCGGTTACTTCTCATGACACCATTCGATTCAGACCTTAATAATCTAATTGTGCCTCCGTACTGTTCACTCGCCCTCAAACGATACTCAAAATACATAGCCTGTCATGCATTAATATTTATTACACAGCCTGTCGTGAATGAATTTACCACCTAGTTGTGTTGAATGTTGAATTAAGAACCGACATCACAGCGCCCGGGACATCCCCATAAGCGCTTCGTTCCCATCTTCAGCGACAAGCGAAGAGTTCCAATTCCGATGGCACTAGTATCTGTCTGATTGTATTTCCGTCTCTCTCTTCCCAAGATTGTTGAGCGCCGGCCAGATTTCCCCAAACTCCTCGTAGCGTAATTCTACGCAGACCTGCGCACTGTCAATCTCTCACAAAGAGCCCTCACAACATCCAGCTTATCATACATCAGCTCACCACCAAGAAGTGCAGAATCGGTCAATCTATATGCCTATCTCATCTCGTCTATCTCACCGGCAACACCTAGAGAAAATATCAGAAGGATGCTCACTACCCGGGACCTCTGAAATGATGCCTGCCACCGGGTTGTGTAGAATCAGCCAGTCCGTTTGCCTGTTCGTTTACACATAATGAATGTTTGTCAATTATAACATTATAATCAGTATTTATGTTAGCTGTTCTCCTTGTTTCAGCTACACATGGCAATACTGGTTTGACTTTGGAGTGACATATTCTAGTCTGTGTTGCATACTTGCGAGGAACGGCTGGCCGAATAGTTAGAGTGTTGGGCTTTATTGCTGGAGGCCAGGCTTCGATCCTTCGGTAAAAGCTGGATATGCTTCTGTCAGGAGCAAACATAGAGCGTCCCAGCCTGCACAGGTCGGGGGGACTGCGCTAGACAGAGGACCCTCAATCCTCATGCTCAGGACCCCTTCCCACCACGGACCCCTCCCCACCCAGGACCCTACCCAGGACCCCTCCCCACCCTGTCCTGCAGGGTCTTATAAAAGTAGTGTTGCAGGTAGCAAAGACAGTTAATGGATCGCATCTTGCGCTGTCCAGAGGAAGTATAATGTGTGGAAAAGAGTCTTTTTGTGTTCTTGGTAAATAGGGATTTACTGCCTCTTTTGGCAGTGGTGAAACATCGCAAGCTCGTTTGGTTCGAAACCCCTATGTGCTTTCCGGGGCCCCATCGTGGGGAAAACAAGAATAGACCCACTGCCTGCCCAAAAACATGTCGGATGAGTCGACTAATTGGGAGCTTCTTTTGAAGTCAGAGTACTAGGAACCAACAATCAGCATGCAAATAACTCAAACCTGTGAACCGGATGTACATTCAACATTCAATTTCTGGAACAGGACTAGAGTCCAGAAGTGGACGAACAAACCAAAAATGTTCCGCCGGAGTTTACAGCCGTCGAACACGAAGAAAAAGTAGACGGTTCAAAATGATTCGATTGCGAAGATTATTCTTCAGTAAAAATTGGCGGAAAGGATAAGGGGGTTGGGAGATATCTTAGAATCACAACAGCAAGAAATAGACGGCACTAAATGATTATACCCCTGATCAACATACAAAAGACAGATAAAGGTCGATTTTGGGTGCTGGTGCTTCCACCGACCCAACTCCGCTACCCTACATGTCAAGGGTTTACTGGGATTCTCCCTTAATGGATGCATGTAGTTTATGTCAGGATGTTATTTGTTCTCAGCTTCACTCTTCATCACTGATTTGATGTTACAGTTAAATAGTTTGAGTGACTTACTTGTTGTAATCTGCGTAGTCTACTATGAAAGCAATTTCCACAACATGCTGGGTTGGATTCCCTTTGCTTGCCTTGTTTTTCGAGCCTGATGCGCCCTTCTGTGATGTCTTGTTTTCAGGAGCACTACGCCTGGTCCGCAATTCTGAAAAGATTATGAAAGAGTTTGAGCATTTGTCTCGTTCTCTTGGATATAATTTTCCAATCCTGCTACACGGAAGTAAATCATTGAGAATTAGATGATGATAAAAAATATTGTAAAAGCGGCAGAGATTTGGTTTTAGCCAATAACCACGAGAAAATCCTTACAAGATAAAGAGATAGTATCTTTAACAGGACATTGCAAATCCAACAACAGCATTTTTTGTCTCTTGTGGTTTTTCTAGGCAAATTTACGCCCAGTAGATTGCCACTGGCTAAACGGTCAACTTCTCGATACCACTGTAGAAACAACCACAAGACGCAAGGCCCGCAGCAGGGATCGAACGCAGCACCCCGGCATTACGAAGAGCGTGCGCAAGGCCTAAGTCACAGACGCCGACAAATAAAAAGTAATGAGGATATATTGAAAGAAACTGACTCAGGAAGTGAACTGACTGCCCACATCAGAGAGAGACAATCTACATTCTTTAGTCGGGTCACAAGAAAGAGAACATTGCAGCAGATTGTGATGATGAGAAATCTAGAGGGAAAATGATGTAGAGATTAATGAGAAAGAAAACGCTGAAGAGCCTGACACCATGGCATGGAGGATCATCTGTGTCAGAATTGACTGAAAATGCTCGAGACAGAAAGCTGTTGATAGGCATCACCGAAAGGCGTGAACTCTACAACAGAGGAAGTTACTCTCTCAGGAGAAAGCTAGCTCTACTATGGAAATAGACATAAAACCCGGTAAAATAAATTCATTTCGAACTTTAATTCTGGCATGAATGTCGTAAGCAGTAAAAAGAGTCACTATGAACCTGGCAATCTGACCTTACAGCAAACTAAGACTAGGAAATGCAGAAAATCCTGAATATATCTACTTATCTACATATATGTTGACGCCCTTGTTAACTCGACTTAGGATCTAAGCTGCAGTAGATGTTCAAACAAGCAGAAGGTATAGATAAGTCAACTAGTAAATATTTTAAGCTGGTTATGAATAGAATAACTGAGTACGCGACACTCCAATGGATCTGCTATCAGAGAACCACTTTAATCTGACCTCAAAGTTGACAGCTATTATATTTCAAAGTGTCAGCCCAGTTCAATCGTTTTTTTTTTTTTTTTAGCGCAGTGGCTAGAAATGTGTTAGCTGGTTCAAAAGTCTTAGGTTCGAGTCTGGTTTCAGCTGAGTTTAGAATGGAAATTGCTGCACTAGGGGTAATTCCGTAAGCGCTCGGTACTAATCTTCAGCAGACAGCGACGAATTTCAGTTCCCATAGTACCAGTAAGATTTCCACTATACGTAAATTTTAGCTTCCCTCCAAGTGTAGGGACTAGACTAGATCCCCTGGCCACTTAACGCTGCACTATTCTTTCCGCACTGTTGTAATTGGTTCGTTCTTCTACATTGCTCACTTGCTTCCAGGAGACCTTAATTAACCATATTTGGCTTAGCAAGCATCAGTTGTTGCGTTGAGTTGAGTTGAGTCTAGAATTGATATCACACCACTCGGGGCATTCCCATGCATGCTCTGTCCCAATCTTCAGCAGTCTGTGTAGAGTTTCAGTACTGACGGTAATGGTTACAATTTGCTTATATGTCCATCTTGCCTTTCCTCTGAGTGTAGTGAGCCGGCTAGACACTCTGGTTACACCTAGGGAGCCTCATTATCACCAAGCCATAATAATCTTCTTTTTCTACTGATTCCCTTGCTTGTTGCCAAAGGGCCTTGACTGGTAATCTGGTAATCCTAGTTTTAGCTTCATAGCATAGCAAACGGGTCACCCCACAGTTGCTCTGCTCCCGTGCCAACGAAAAACAAACGCAGCTCACAGTGTCGCGCCATGCACTCAACTCAGAAGCTAGGCGACGAAACTACATCCTTCCAGTCTACAAATGGAGCAAAAATGCAACGGCCACCGTCTGGCGGAAAAAAAAAACACATTTGCCACGGCTTTAAAAAAAATTGGTGGCTGTGCCTAGCGTCCATTTTGACCGGAAGCATTATATAAGGGTTAATAAATGGTCACCCCAGCAGTGCCCTCATTATTAGCTGGGGAAGGGACTTAGGACATTACATCCACCAGCAGGCATCGCCCCTACAACGACCTGCCTGCCATCGTTAATGACTGTTCACCCAACAGCCATGCAGTTCTTTAGCACGAAGGAGACACCTTGAACTTGGGTTTCGAACTTCTAAATAACTACTAAGATGTTATTTTATGTTTTGATATCACGATTGATGTCACTGCACATTGGGCATACCCATGCGTGCTCAGTTTTCCGAAGCAGCAGCCACTCCAAAGTACTTCTACTAATTGTCCCCATAAGAAGCTGGTTATATTGTCTCCTTTCTCGGCCTCGAAGACGGCAAAGACGTGCATCACGATGCCTAACTCCTATGTCACACAATCGTGTTAGTGTCAGGGATTCCTCATTCTCCACTAGCCCATTTCGTACAGCGTTGACTATATCTGCTCTGTCCATACTTCTGCCCGCGATCATTAATGCAGTGCTTGCCAGTTGGTCTGCTCGCTCATTTCCCTTCACGCCCTCATAACCCGGTGTGTAGATCCAGGTTACGGAGGTTAAGTGCGATTTCCGAATGCTTTCTATCCATTCAGGGTGCATACTGCCTGTTGCTATCTTCTGAATCCTTGACTACATCTATCTTGTCATGTACCTATTCACCACGCAGTGGTACAGATCCAGCCAATCTGTCTGCCTGTTCATCACCCACCACGTCAGTATGGCACGGAAAAACGATTTTGACTCCACTCAACTCCCCAAATCTTTTCTACGACTCTCTTCCCTTCTAGTTTAGCCAGGCTTATCTCGTAGAAGACCGAGCTAGTTGGCAGCTGTTCTTTCCATAACATCCGTTCGGACCAGAATTTATCTCACCAAGAGAAAGCCGGTTGCTTCAGATAATAGAGGAGTATAAGTACTGTGCGATGCACTGTAGGTGTGAAAGATTTGAGGTTTAACAACGTGTCAACATCATGGCACACGGGTAGTAACCTATAAGTACTCCGTTCCTCTTCTAACTCAAGTCTGAGTCTAAAGAAGCTCAAAACAGTGCACATGCTCTATAGCACCAGAGAGGATCCTGAAATACTTTTCATAGATTTTTTAACTCAAAATGTTTGCCCGGGCAGCGGTGTTATGCTACTCTTTTCGATTTCCAACCGCCAAGAGATTTTTTACGTGCTCAACAATGCCCACGGGCTTCTGATCCCACTAACCAGAGACCAGGGGAAATTACTAGTAGTCCAACTCCACGTAAAAATATTCCAGCCTTTACCGTGGATTGAACTCGGAACCTCTAGCAATCGGGGCGGACACCATGCCTCGAGACCACACAATTCCCCTGAAGGTGTGAAAATGGTCCCTTGTATCTTCTGTCATAAAGGCCGCTGTGGCCGCAGTGCTAACAAGACAACAAGATTTCCTGTCGACTAGAAGATGTTAGGTTTGTGACATTACAGTACATCAGAAGAGGACAAAAATAAAACGTTGTTGGTAAAGTTGATAAAATAATAATTATGAAGGAACGTATACGAAAGAAGAAAAGGAATGTATAGTAGTAGTAGCAGCAGCAGGGGTACTAATAGCCGTAGTAGTAATAGTAGTTGTAGTTGTAACGTTAGTAATGATAGTAGTAGTAGTGGCAGCAGTAGCAGGAGCAACAGTAACAACAATAACAAAAACGTTAGTAAAAACAGCAACCTGTAGAATATTCCACTGTGTCGCCAACAAGAGATCTTTTTGGAGTTACGTAAGAAGAAATCCGATGAGTCATGCTGGTGACGTTGTCGGCTTTTCGCTTGTGTCTGGTCTCATAGTGAAGTGTCCAATCCACATCTTTGTGAACAAAAGTCCCTTTCTGGAAGATATAACGGCAGCAATATACATCCTGCTGTGGTTAACAGGGCGAGACAGGAAGAGAGAGAGAGAGAGAGAGAGAGAGAGAGAGAGAGAGAGAGAGAGAGAGAGGGGCGAAAGGTGGGGGGGGGGGGGAATATAAGTGTTGCAGAAAACACATAAAGATTTCAATTGTTATTGGAAAGATTCATATTACTTTACAAATGAAGGGATGACTAGAAAGTGGAGGAGGAGGAGGAAAATAGTGGATAAGGAGGATATTGACGAAAAGACTCAGGCAGAAAAAGGTGGGAATACGAGAAAGTGGTTAAAACATTCTTTCTTTCCGTCAGCCCTTCAATAACTGGTTGCTACATTGGTGGAATGTTTTTCCCTCACACTTGAAATATTAGAGCTGAACTGACACAGTCGAAGATTCAAATAATAGATGCAGTTCTTGTCATGTTCGTGGCATTTCTTACAGTTGATGGAAGATTGTTTGCTCCATACACCTGAAATTTCCTACAGTTGTTGATGGAAGATTGCTCATCCATACACATGAAATTTCCTACAATTGTTGATGGAAGATTGCTCATCCATACACCTGAAATTTCCTACAGTTGTTGATGGAAGATTGCTCATCCATACACATGAAATTTCCTACAATTGTTGATGGAAGATTGCTCATCCATACACCTGAAATTTCCTACAGTTGTTGATGGAAGATTGTTTGCTCCATACACATAAAATGTCTTACAGTTGTTGATGGAAGATTGTTTGCTCCATACACATAAAATGTCCTACAGTTGTTGATGGAAGATTGTTTGCTCCATACACATACAATGTCCTACAGTTGTTGATGGAAGATTGTTTGCTCCATACACATACAATGTCCTACAGTTGTTGATGGAAGATTGTTTGCTCCATACACATAAAATGTCCTACAGTTGTTGATGGAAGATTGTTTGCTCCATACACATAAAATGTCCTACAGTTGTTGATGGAAGATTGTTTGCTCCATACACATAAAATGTCCTACAGTTGTTGATGGAAGATTGTTTGCTCCATACACATACAATGTCCTACAGTTGTTGGCAGACGAAAATTGATTTTAAATTATTATTTCCGTAACACACATAACTAAATGGGTTGGGTAGGAGGTTGGCAGGGGCGGTAGCAACAGTTTGTAATAATTTAACAGGCTTGTATTGATTGACATACATAGAAAAAATTTGAGATATTGTAGGGTACACTAAACAACACTGCAGGAACACGACTACTTCGACACA